AGGCGATAATTAACTGGCCAGGATTAGTCTGCTTTCCAACTCCGGCCTACGAGAAAAAAAGTAAGTAAAAAATGTGGCTTGTAAAATTTTTCATTTAATTCGCAAAAATGGAGACCCCCCTTCCCTCCTAAGCAAACACATGTACCGAAAGGGAGAAAAGTAAGCAACAAAGGGTTTAAAAAGCACGAGGATATGGGTTGACGCCAGACACACAAAACTAATGTTTAAATAGAAAAAAAGAGCAGAAAAAGTTTGGGTGAAGCCAAATAATTTACTAATGCCTGTAAATGTTTTGATCGGTTGCTTTTGGTGCCTCGGGCGCATTCAAAAATATCCTAAACAATGCCAAGTTCTGGGTTGATAAGGAAAATGTCTCCGCGTCTCTACTTTACCTCAGTTGTGTAATTAGAACTTTAAATTGCAGCTCTCTTTTTCTGAACAAAGAGGCACGGAAGTGAAAATGGGTGATTTAGCCTGACTGAAAAAAAGATCCGTGCCATGCACTGATACGCTGGAATCAGTGACCACGATGTATTTTTATGCAACCTCACCTGATTGGCTGCTTCTCTCATGAACTGTTTAGCTGCTGGAGTCCATATTGCAGGAACAGTTAGTACCCATTGAATATCGTCTGTCTTAAATTGGTCATCACCGGTGTCCAAGGCAAGAATTTTGATTGCTTCGTCTTTCAAAAACTTGATTGAAAGTGCAAACACAGTCTGGGCCTTAACCTCTTTTCCATTTGCAGCTTTAATGGATGTTTCCTTGTTAAGTTTCTATTAATATATTACCAATCAGTGGGAAAATATTTTACACGAGAGTATTCAAAACACTTTGTAGCACTCTAGAGGTCGCTAATTATTGTCGCATGGGACCCCGAATATTCTCACCTGAGTACCAGATTTTCCAGTGTAGAAAGGTTTTCTGATTACATAAAACTCCATTGAGGGTATTAAAATTCGATAGTCAGGTGCCAAAGGAAAGGAACTTCATTTCATCTAAGACGATTTGGATTAAGATTCGATACAGATTTCGGATCAATATCAGTATCTGGGCAACTGCCCACCTACCCCTCCCCTAACCCAACATTAACCCTAACTTGTTATCAATTGACTGTTGTTGAGTTACGGGAGGGGTAGGTGGGCAGTTGCCCAGATACTGATATTGATCCCAGATTTCTAGGTAATTGTTAAGCAGCTACTATACCTCATCGTTGTGGAGTGCCATTTTAAAATGCTGAAAGAAGAAGTACTTCTGCTCCTCGTGTTCATTTTGTAGCTGTGCATAGTTTTCCATTGCATCGTAGCCAAACGAGTTAAAACTGAGATCTGGATTAAGGAGCAGGCAGGTCGGAGTCTTGCTCGTTCTGCCTCCCTGTTCATTCGTCCAGTCCCGGTTCATGAAAATCGCGTCTTGTTCATTATCTTTGTTAAATGAAAATGCAAAGCCAGTGTATGAAGTGCCAAAGTCTATCGCCACCACGGCAATGTATGGATTCTTAAAATCATCGGACGGATTTTCTTTAACTGCAAATGTAATAACACCATACTATTAGACCTGCGTAACTTTGATCAGCTTTAGCTTTTAGGTATCTGGCAGGTAGATCAACTTGGATGTTTAATGGATCTAAATATTCTCAGATAAGGAAGCAACGAGATAGCCGATCTCTTACTCCTTCACAGGTCTCTTACCTCTTTTAGACCATATGACCGACGATCTCTTCGAATTCGAAACCAAAAATTTTCTAAGCAAACAACTGCGGAAGCGATTATAAATGAGTCTTGGTGCATGCAAAGTTTAAGCTTGTCTGAGGACAAATCTGATCACATTCTTAGTCTTCAATTCCTTTTGGTTCTTATTTGAGGCTTGATAAAATACAATAAAAAATCATTCATAACACATAATACTAATACTTGATATTCATAATACGTAAGACATAGGGCACACTTTTACTCAATACGGACCGACCTAAGCTGGTAAATAACATTTTCAATTTTTTATCCCTATCCTTAATGATAAGAGCCGTAATTCCATAACCTGAACAGTTTTTGAGCGAGTAGATAACAATGAAAACAAAGGTTATTCAAATTAAAGAGAGAGACTGGATTGCGACATTTTTATTTGCGTAATGGTAAAGTTAATTTAAAAGGCTTCCAAGCAAACTTTGAAACATTTTTTTCTACATAGAGATGTTTTGCAAAGCGGCTCAACACGAAATGGATACCACCCGCTGGGAGCGGGTCGGATAGGAGAATATTGCGCGCTCTCGGAACCAATCAGATTGCAGACTTTGCAGAATACTGCCCCTAACGAACTGTGAAAACAATAACACTTGAATAATGTTTCAATGCCAAATTTGCCAGCAATTGCATTAGATACAATAAGAAGAGAAGTAGAACATAGAAGAGCTGTAAATCTTTAACTATCTTTGGAAAACTAAAAAGGTTCGATTTTTTTATGGCAAATGTGTTTTCTTGAGAACTCGCAAGTTTGTACAACATTTTTTCTTTTCTTTTCCGTTTCTAGTAAGTACTTGTTTTTAAACGTAACTGAGTGCAAAATGAATGAAACCAAAAGAATGATTCGTTTAGCTGATATTCTACCAAATTAACCTAGAATCATAAAATTATAATCATAAGGGATGGGAACAGAGTGTCAACATTACGTTGTACTAAACATCAAGGGATCAAGCGATATAAGACGTGGCATGTCTCTCGAGTTCGTTATATTTTGTCTCCTGACCTGACGCACTTTGCAAGTTTGACCCTCTCCTTGCCTACCTCCACCCCTTTTATTTAATGTGTTTTTGTAGTATGAGCACTTTATGCCTTTTTTGTCTTCGTGATCTAACCTTTGTTAGAGCTAAACAAATCAAAATTCGTTAATAATTGAGTATATTAGATGTAAGTTTTGGACAATAAATCAGCCATCTTGCTCGGCCAAAATTTATGCGGACACAAACTTGGCTGGCAATGCTTTCACAAGAAACGTCACCACGGATGGCATCATGCCAAAAAAAAAACATTTTTTTTTCTCAGAAACCTATTGATTTCCTTAGCAGATGTCAACAAGGAAAAAATCTAAAATGTTTTCTGGAGCTTGTTGGATTACATAGTTTTGATCTGGAAGCATATTCTAAGCGAAATTACCAACTGCTGTGAAAGTAAACTAAAATGTGACTGAATGCTCATTTTTGTGACCATTCCTGAGTGTAAGAGCTGTGATCACCTGAAAACAATCATTGTTAAGGATTGTGGTTGACAGTGTAGCTCTTGCATGAGCTGGTAAACGAATGTATAATTCAAAGATTTGACCTTTCTGAAATTAATTTTATGAAAATTCTACCGGTATGAACAACATTACCCTTTGAAGCCATACTTTTGTATTTTGCTTGTCTTTTCTTCGACAGGAGTTCTGTGATAATATGTCTCGCCATTCAAAGGATCGAAGACTGACTTGGGCCGTGTTTTCCGAGACATCCAAACAGAAAGGAAAACTCCCCGAATTAACCGACGATCAAGGGTCATGAAATTAGAATATCCTGTTTCAACAGAAAATAAAACCTAATTGAATTCCTCCTAATTTCACGAATATCAGGCAACGTTCGAGAAGTATCTCACGAAGATGAAATTACGAAATAAAGTGCCCTATTCTCTTTCTTACGAAATAATTTTCTCTTCCTCTTGAATTTCTCGGAAAATACACTCCCAGTCGGGAAATATTTTTAGCCTTGTGTAATTGCTTTGACGGCAGTAAAATTTAAGGACACAAAAGATCGACCGATTGCTTTGCAAGACACTCAATAACAAGGGAAATTTCCCGGAATAAGCGGAAACCGAAAGGTCATTAAATGACTTCCCGTTTACATTTGCTCAGTCCACTTGAGTGATTTATCCCAGGCATCACAAGTCACGCCATTTTTATGCATAAATCTAATTAACATATCAACAGCAAACAGACAATGATGCTGCCTCTCAATCTTTCTTCGTCTTGTTGTTGGTCCTTTTTTAGAGTGTAATATTTAACATTCAGTTTTGGAATGATCGACGAACGATTCTACATTCATCGGCTTTAATATTTTAATGCCATGGATATTTAGAACTCATAATGTCTGTGTCAAAACTATAAAAGCCTTGAAACGCAAGGGAAAGTACAGACCTCTATTAACGTAACGTATGACCTCTCAAAGATTTGATGGAGGTTTTTATTTGACAGAAAGGTATGAAAATGTAGATGATGCATGCATTCAATTATTGATTTAGGAAATCAAATAACTTGTGTTGCTTTCTAAGTTTGGTTTTACTTCCAGGGAAATGCCCATCGAAAAAATAACCGACGATGTTTCTTTGATCCCGTTATGCGAAATTTACACTTGAGGAACAATTCAAGGCTGGTAATTTTTGTTCGAAACCGATCGCATTAGTTCACATATATGATTTTCATATTTACAGCCATTTATCCATCACTTCATGGGTTTATTACGAACCAAAATACTGACCAGCTCTCACCTGGCTCGTTAGCTCAGTTAGTAGGTCGCTGCACAGGTATCGCAGAGTTCATGGATTCAAATCCCATACAAGCCTCAATTTATTTCAGGCCTTACTTTTACTACTGCTCGAGTGGTGTTCATAACTGAGAAGATCGCTTTCATATGCATTTCTTAATCCGCAGTTCACATATAAGATTTTCATCTATCCACACTCATTTAATCGTTAATGTCGTAAACTCGACTCCACACAGGCATCAAAAATATGCAAGCTTTATATATACAACCTTGGGCACCGAAACTATTTCTTTCCTGAATTCTTTTCCTTCCTATATTTAGTAATGAAGTTCAATCAATTATGCTGGGACTTATGAAAAGAGTATTGCATAAAAACTAGACATGCTGCAATGGCAGAGAAGCTCTTAGAGCAAAGCTACATTGAAGCAAAGAAGAAACGAAAGTAAACTGATCATGAGTTTAGCCATTTCATTCGTTTGAACATTTAACACTTTTGATATACGCTTTTTAACTGCCCCTAAGGGAGACAGTTGGTCGTCTTTTCCGAAAGCCCAAAATCACTTTGTTTTCACAAATAGAAGATGACAAATCTTTAGTTAAGGAAGGTTCTGTGATGAAATATTATGCACAGTCTCGTGACACTTGTCATCAAGGTCAAAGCGCACTACTGTTTGCTTTTCTCGGAATTCTTTAATTTCTTCTCGCATGTTGAATTTAGTAGGTACACCACAACTACAATGACTCACAGCACTTGGCTCGAAGAGGACACATTTGAACCTTTTTAGAGTCATTTTATTCCTGAACAGGGGGGCATATCATTGAAAGGAAAAACGAAATCGACCGCGAAAAAATAAACTGAAGGTCTGTTTGCAGTAATCTGTTTGAACTGGATGGATGACATAATTTTGATTTGGAAGCATATCTTGAACAAAATGATGTAACCTTTTGCGATGGAAAATGTAAAAAGTATAACTGAGTGCATAATTTTTAACCACTCCTGAGTGCAAGAGCTTTGTTAAGGATTGTGGTGGACATTGTAGCTTTTGCGTGAACTGATAAACGGATGTATGATCCAATGCTTTAAAAAAACTGATCCCTTAAATATTCTAGCAGTATGAACATCATTACCTTCTGAAGCCATTCCCTAGGGTTTGTCTTGTCTTTTCCTCAACAGAAATTCAGTGATATGATATCTCGCCATTCACTGTTTCGAAGATCGACTTGAAGTGTCCTTTCTGAGAAACCCAAACAGGAAGGGAAATTCCCAGAATCAAGTGACGATCAACGGTCATGGAATAAAAATATCCTGTTTACACAGGAAACAAATTCCTTCTTAATTTCATAACTATCGAGTAACGAGAGAGAGAGTATGTGACGGAAACACAGATGCGAAACTTTATTGTTAAACACATTCCTTGTATAATCCCGATGAAAGAATAAATTTGGCATTATTTGCAGGAAAATCTCAACATAGAAATTTGCTTTAAAAGCATTAAAATTGAGTGCCACGAAACATCCATTCATTTGTTTTGCAAGATATTTAAAAACAAGGGGATTTTCCCCAAAAAAACCGAAACCGAAAAGTTATAAAATGACTCCCTATTTACATTTTCTCAGTCTACTTGAAAGATTTCTCCAAGCTGCCGAAGTTGAGCCATTTCGATGGCTAGCCCTTATTTGTGAACCGAAAAAAAGGACGAATTAAGACGCTGGTCTCAAATCTATATTGCTAATTTTTGTTTGATTAGAGAGCTGCTTCTTCAACCGGCAAGGTGTGAAGATATCATCCAGTCTTACAATGATCAACAAACGAGTGAATTATATGCATCCTTTTGCAATGTTTCAATTTCGCAGATATTTTATATCCATAATGTTTATTTTGTAACGTTTGACCTCACTCTGAAAGATCTGTGGGGGAGTTTATGAATCTAATTCAGGGTATCGAAGATCAGGAATCATAACATAATCATACGATTCAGGCTCACACATAACCTCTCCTAGAAAAATAGTTCGACCACCTGCTTCTAAAAGTGCAGGCCACAAGTAACAGGCAATAATCTGCCCAGTAAGATGATCTGCGCCACGGCAGAATTCTGCACGATTCTGGAATCTCGCCAGTTTATGCAAATCTTTGTCAAATTGCACAGCCCCATACTCAAGCTGCATTGGTGGAACTTGTGTAACCATTCTCCATGTTAGCCTGATACATGCCTTTATGTAGTCACCGAGTTGTGTCAACACATCCTCTGAAGGCCTGGGTAAGAATGATTCTTCCCTTTCGGACATGCAATTTGTCCAACGTTCCCACACAATCTTCCTGACATTCTAAGGGTATTTTGAGAAGTTAAAACATCAAATAGGGTGAAAAAGTCACTATGAAGAATTTCAAAACTAAAATAAAAAATAAATGTAGATATTAATAAAATGAATCTGAAAAAGAGCTGTTCGCCAATACTTTCACCATGATGACATATCCTGGTAATTTCTCTCTTCCTCAGCTTTTATAATAACAAAAATAATGATGACTGATATAAAAATGAAAATAATTTAAATAATCGTGATATCCAGATTTCAGATAAGCTGAACTTGATGACGTCAACAGAAATATATTACGCATAATACTTTGATTAAAATTATCCGGAAGATTCGATTCGTGCTCCTTATTAAAATGGAAAAGCTGGTGTGGCTGGGTGAATTTTCCAGGATTGTTTCGCACTGTTGCGTCATGGTGTGCGATTGGCAGAGAACAATTTGGCTGGAATTAGTAATAAAAGATATTCGTTTTTGGTATTAATGTTGCATAAATGTTTACAGATTATGGCTGCTAAATTCGTTTTGATTAGAGACAGTAATGTTCAATATTTCCAGGAGGTAAAAGAAAACCAAAATACGAAAAGCAAAACAGAATGTTACGTGCCTGGGTTGAGTAATGGCGTTCCTCGTGGCTGAGCACGAAAATCTCCTACTGTTATTTTTGCCACAGGCCAATTTTGGCCATGTACCTGAAGAGACTTCTTCTATCGGTATGGAAAAAGTCAATAACTGAGAATTTTGTGCAGTAAAACTTATGCCCAGCGTTTGTTTTTGTAATTATTAAAAGCATTCTTTCATTCCAAGCCTTATCACCGACGCTCTTTACAACTTTTTCATTTATTAATCAAATCGAATCTTCTTGTCGGTCAAGGCCTTTTGTGTTTGTAAAAAAAAACATGGTTACTTCTAGATATAGAATTTCCCTCCTCATGTTCAACTCGATATCTCACTCGTTCGCTGTGTTCTCTCGTGAGCTAATACGTTTGACACTCGAGGAGAAATTCCATATCTACGCGCGCCCATGTTTCATTCTCTATTTATCCCATACCTTCTGGAAGCAGTCAAGGTTACCCAAGTGTGACGTTTCTTTCAAGGAAAGCATCATTCCATCAAGTACATCCGTTGATATTCCTTTATCAATTCTCCCCGTTAGAAGATCGAATGTTTCAGGTAACTGAGCAGAAGCACCACTCTCCTTGAACTGAGAAACATAAGGAAGCAATTGAATGAAAATAAAGCCTAAGTCCATATTTAGAGAACAGAGGGCCAATACATAGGACAACTTCTTCTTTCTTTTTCATTTATTTTTAAATCTATTTATTTTTTGATCGTCGACCTTTTAATTCCCGCAATTGATTAAGCACAGTTGAAATCAGTTTGTCTTAAAGGAGCATTTCCATAATTTGTACACATTGAGAGGTTAAGTCATCAACTGCGAGGAAAAGACGTTCAAAACAAAATCTAAAAAATCAATCTAAAAATCAATAATAGTTATCATGAAAATAATAATAAAAAAATAATTTCAGTACGACTAAGATGGGGAAGAGGATGGGCTATTACGTGCATCTAAATCGTATTGTGATTCAATGATAATAGTGTACACATGCATGTACACCCTCTCAAAATGCCTTGTGAATGAGACAAGAGTATATAGGATATAGTGACGGTCTTTTAGTTATGTACATCCAGACCTTTCTTGCGTGACACAATTCCTGGCACATTCTTGGAGCTTCCTCAATTAGTTGACTAGTAACGTTTTGGAACAAATCACAAGCGGCATCCCTTGCCTCTTTTACCTGTTCGTAAGCAGTCTATAAAAGAAATGTTTCCAAAAATACTCAAAATCATCGCATAATTTTAATATAATTAGAATATTTTAAAGCCTGTAATGGATGTCTCGACATTCTTGGCTTTACTTTGTGAGTGCGCAATGTGTTATGGATATTGGATGGGCATGCCTTCGCAAATTGGCGGAATGCTGTTGTTATCTTCATTAAAGGTGGTCGTAATACATTGAGTACCTATTCTTTTTATGAACCACGGAACTGACCGGAGCTGTTAACAGCCCAATCCAACATGCAGGAGCGTTTGGTTATGCAACACTTCTGTCGTGTCATGAGTTAAGTTGATAATAGTGAAGTTCGCTATTTGAAGCACCACTCTAGCTCACATGTAAGTGATTTGAGTCTGAGGGCCGGCAAAATTTCTCAAAAATTGCTGAATAAGTGTGTCATTCATGCACTGGACATGACAACCTTAAACGAATCGACAACAAAAATGGTGATGACGCCCGCCCCTTAAGTCATGTTATTAAAAGTTCATGAGATTTACTTCATGTCTCGACTGGTTATGATTCAGCAGATCAGTTACAATTGTCGGGTTAAGAGCGCTGAGAGTCCCGTTTAAACGTCAGCTTCTCTGTTCCTCGAACAGGCTTTTCTGGTTTGATGTGACATTAAGTTAGGTTCGATCTTAAATTATTTACTGCTACATTATGATGATTACCTCAAATATCAAGCAAGCTAATCTTGGATAATGAACATTCTCTTCGATTTCTCTGGATAGGCCCAACAAGAACTCGATTTTGTCACAAGCGTCAAGCCTCTCTCCATCGAAAAAGTCGCTGAAGTTTTTTTCTATATCACTGGGTGTGTTTGATTCATCAGTATTTTCAACTCGTCGTTGATCTTGCTTCAGTCGCTTTTCAAAACTTATCGCCAATCTGTAAACAGAAAGGACAAGCAAGATTGTGGCTGGCAATTAGTTCTAAAATTTGGACCGCAAATTTCTCATCCCGTAAAAGTATGGAATTTATACAGAATGAAAAGGATTTGATGATTATAAACACGAAAGACAACAATGCTCATGGAAAGAACAACTGTCGCAGCTCTAATTATGAGTCAGTGTTCTTTATATACTCTTGTCCTCGAATGATGACAAGTAAAGAAATATTATTAAACCTTTTTAATGCTGCAGTAGCGCTTTGCAAATACCTGGGAGGCATAAGGTCGAGTCCAGTCAAAGCATGAGTCTTTTTAGGGTTGTCTTTTGTGCCATTTCTCTCAACCCAACTCACCTGCAGGATAGATTCACTAAGCCTAACGAATACTCTTTGGAGAGGATAAAGGAATCACAAGGTCAAAATTATATGCTACAAAAAAAATAATAATCATAATTGGCAAGCTGCGGTATATTCACATACTTCTATTTGCTGAAAACAATAACATTGTAGGTGAAGTACCTCACTGTCTTGTCTCTTAATTGTTCCCGGAGAACTCGTAACTCCTCGTCTTTTTTCGACAAACTTAAAGTGAATCTAAAACATGGATATATTTTCAAATCAAATGATTCCTTGAACAGATCACCATGATCAAAAAGTGAAATAAAAATGTCTAAAACTAAAACAATAAGAATACGCGTGTATTTAAGACGGACTCGAACTACCCCCAAAAAAATAACAATAGTAACAGACCGTGCTAATGCTATCATGAAAAAAAATTGTTTGAAATGACTTATTGCTTTAGGGCAACGCCAAATACGTTGTTCTTTCAAAAAATGAAGTAGCGAATAAACATCAAACCAACTAAGAGAACAGCAATATAAACAACTCTGGATACCAACCTGTTACATAATTCCTGTTCTTCTGCAGCCTGCTTCTTGACGCACATGTTATAGCTGTCACGAACATTCTCGAAGCTGAGAAAGTTATCAGTTGCAACACATAAATGTTATTATTTTTTTGACACATTACATATTGCTTATTGTTGCATTGGACTTACTGGCAAATAAGCGAGTACATTCCTAATAAATGATAGTGACAAAAATAAAGAACAGGGGCAAGAAGTACAAGGAACGAATTATTACTTACCGCCATATACGTGCATACATGTACTTAAGCACTAATTAGGATTAATACCAACTCCTTCTGACATACTATTGTTTATTACTTTCACTTAATTTAACACTTTTTTCATGTTGTGTGACATGTTGAAAAAGAAATTTTCTTCGCTTACAATTTCATGAAATATAGTGCTGAGATTTCTTTTAAAGGATAGGATCTCATTCCATAGTTTACGGTGATTCTTAAAGTAGCTTTGTTTTCTGTTTTAATCTCGATTTTTCTATCTAAAAATTATTGGCAGTTAAGAAGACCACATATTTAAATCGTGAATTTTGAAAGCATAAGTAAACATGTGTAACATTTTCGATGGTGCATTGCCAGTGCTGACATCATCCATAATAAAATAATGATTCGTAATAAAGGAAGGTTGAAGGATCTTAAAGGTGTGACACCAGCTTAAAAAGAGAAAAACTATTGCAAGATCATTTCTGTTTGCAAAGTCATTAAGTGCAAGGCCCGCTCTCGCAGAACTAAAAATCTTATCCAGATGTATCTTTAGGGCTTGACCCCTGGTAGTTAATCCATAAGTTTTTTAGGGGACAAAAAAGGGATTGATAAACACTCACACATGAAAATAATAGGACATCATGTTCTCCTCACATTCAAAAGAGTCGTTAGTGTTAAAAAAAGTGTCTTAATTTCGCAATTAGTTATGCTGTTACTAATTCGATCTGCAATATAATCGATGTGATATTTCAAAAGCAAGGAATGATTTATTATTACCCCAGGGTATCTGAAATATTTGTTGTCTGCCAAAGTAATTGTTAAGAACATGAACATTCGTTTGATAGATACGTTTTTAATAGGGACGAAGCCCTATATTGTTATATTCCTCTTTATTGAGTGCTTGCTAGTTTCTTCTATAGATAGATTTCTGTCAGCGCAGAGAATATTGGTGCCATCGGCGAAAAGACAAAAGAGTGTGTGTCAGATGGAACCACAGTGATCATGAACTTCACAATGCATTACAGAAAGAGCAGTTGTCTTAGCACGGATTGTTGTGGTAGATCATACATGAGCAGGTGGTGGTTTTCTTGGAAATGCATGAACCAACCTGATTTGTCAGCGTTTTACCCTCTAAATTAGATGAAACTGGCTAAAGTTTATTAAGTACAGGCTGGGGCGTAGTTAGCCTATAGACCAAAAGGCCCGCAACTAGGATTTTTCCCCGTTTGACTTTTTTACTGACTCTTGTAAAGTTTGAGACAAGAAGTGGACTTTCGCCACGACATATGTACTTCCGAGATCTTAATAACAAAGAAGAACCAAGAACAAATCTTGTAACGTTAAAGCACTAGGTTAGCACGCTTTTAGACCACTGAAAATGCCTAAAACAAGCCAAAAAGCTGGATGCACCCCTGAGTAGTGTGTTATGATCAACGGTATCGAAAACTTTTATTATATTAGTAAAAAACTCCACATGAGAAGAAATGTTTGTCCGTGTTGGATTGTATGGTGTTGACACTATCAAGAATAGTATGCATGTCGAATAAAAAGCGTTTCTCAAAACTGAGCCATAACGAGAAGGAATAGGTGTTTAATTTTCCTCTTTATAAAAACTCTTTCCTTTGAATAACACTTTCTTAAATATTCTTTTAGAATAAATTTAAAAAATGTTTGTCAAACACCAAGAAAGTTTGAGGCTAAGTGCAGAGGATGCCTTTTGAGCATATTCAGCTTGGTCATAGTGCCTTTTTTAAGAAGAAATATGGAACAATTTCAGAAAAATCTATTGGGGCACCCATCTTGAATAAGGTAGCGCCCTGAACATTGTGGGTTTCTCACGAGGGGTATGAACGTAGGAGTATCATTGGTTTTTTCGTTAATTTGACGCAATCCGTGTTTTAAAGAAGAAACTTCAGGACCGAATTTCTTGTGAACGGTACTTGAATAGCGCGAGTGGCCGAATTCTAATTGTTTGTCGCTGATTTAGAAGTTCATATTTCTCCATCTGCCAATGGTGTAGAATGAGACCAAAACTTCCGAACAAACTCACCATTACAGGTTTTCTTGTGCGGCTACACAGTAATTTTGTCAGCCCTTCAGTCAGTCGAGCAACACGCACTTGGTCACCCCGTCAGTTAGTTGGTAACTAAGTAGGAGTGGAGATAATTCAATGAATTTAGAATAAAACACTACATCAATTTTACCTCGCCAAGTAGAATTTTGTCTTTTCCTTCCATTCCTCTTTCGACGCCTCTTCTTGTTTCAACCTCGCAGAAAAAAGTACACAATCTCGTAACGACCTTGATTTATCTCAAAAGCTTGTAATAGCCGGAGGCCTTAGTGCCATGCAAGTTTGATGTAACGGAGTAAATCTTCTTTTTTTTTTGGTATTCTATTCATAACCTCTTCAGTAGCATGTATAAGAAACTGTGGTGCGTGTGTCCGAACAGGCTCTTGAAAGTTTCCGAAGTTCAACAGCCTTTGTACCTAGTCAGTTACAAGGAAAAGCTACATAGTTTCTTTTTCTCTCTTTCTTAAGGGAGAAATGATATTAAGGTGAGGGATGTGTAAACTAGACGCATACATGTATTTGCGTCTAGTTCAGGTCCTCGCAATGGTTCATGTGGGCACATTCGAAAAGCTGGGTTATAGCTCTCGCATACGCATCCTCCTTGCTCTCTTACCTTCCTAAGTGTTTTACGTTTCGATTAACGCATTAAGGAAACATATAAAATGCTGTAAGACCCTGTAGTCTCTGTTGTTTAGTACAGAAAAGTTCAGACGCACCTGAGGCTATCATTCCGCGCACTCTCTGGTGAATGAGAAACAGTTAATTCAAGCATAATTGATCTACCTCTCTTGCACTTCAGCTAGCTTTTGGTCTCTTTTCGTAAGCTCTCTTGTAAATCTTTTATCCATCTGCTGCTTTTCTGCATTGTGACTATTATAAGCAATAAATATGAAAACAGGCTTTGGTTACTCTATAGACAACTCGTGCTTTACGAACCTCTTGAGAAACACTGGGAAATGGCTCACTGAACACAAAAGCTAATAAATTAAAATAAACACAAAAGGAGAAAAGCGAATCAGTAAAGATGTAAATACTACCACGCGACAGCAATATTCTCAGTTTCTGTAACCTGACAAGCGTTTCAATCGAGTATCTCTTTCGTTGCTGTTATTTTTCTCATCGCGCCAAAAGATGCCGCTCTTCGTATAAAATGGATTTCAAGGTAAAAGTTAAGCTGAAGCAAAACTCAGAAATCGCTCAAGATTTATGGACTTTGGGAGTCCATGGTGCGATGCTGGAGAAGAGACCAGGCAACTGTTCTTTCTGGTGAGCTTAAGATGTCTACAAAACGTGCAAAAATGGGCCGTTTCACTCCCAAGTATTCCGAACTAAAGGAGAAAGTGATGGAGTGGTTTTCTTAGCAGAGAGACCAAACATTTTATTTTTAATGTGAAATGTGAAGAGTTTTGCCAAGTTGAGTGAGATTGTCTTTCAATGCGTGGGAAGCAAAGAATCTGATTGGTGGTCAGAAATTCCTTGTTGTCATGACAATTTAAACCCAATTTTACTTGTTTTTGAATCCCAAACCCCCAGCTGTAAGCCGAATCCCGTTTCTTGTGGAAAAATCTCTCAAACTTTTGTGTCAAATACTGAAAAAGTCGCTCGGGTTATAGGTGAAGAAATACGGTAATTGATCTTACCGCTCTTGAACTTCCGTCAGCTTTCGATCTCTTGCCGTAAGCTCTTTTGTAAATCTTTTTTCCAAATGCCGCTTTTCTGCATTGTGACTATTAAAAATATTCAATATGAAAAGCAGGCTTCAGTTACTCTATAACAGCTCGTGCGTTATTTTCCGTACAATAAATAACTCAATTAGGCATCTTCCGTCGAGTAAAATCCGCGACGTCTTGAAAGCTTAGAGGTAACTATTGAGCTTATATTTTTATCTCCCCTAAAGCACGTTGGGAATCAAAAGTACTAGTATAAACAATGTGATCATAACATGGCATGGTGCAGAACTTTCAAGTCAACAGTTGACAAGCTCATCAATGCCCATAGAATACTTTGAACAACATTCCATCACCAAACATCAGTGGTTGGTAAACAAGAAGAAGTAGCATAAATTGCAATAACAATCAGCCATCATAGTCACTGTTCAGGAGCAATTTTTAATTGAGTGTTGAAACTAATTCCGATCGAGTTGGTTTTTCTAATCCAATCGTGCCTTGTTAATTCGTGTTTTCCTGGACCTCAGGCAGTTTCGTCAGAGCACATCGTCATCGAGGCACAATTTCCTTACTTACACACCGCATTTAGTGTAAATCCAGGCCTTACCTTTGGCGATTATCATTTAACTGATTCTCTATCGCTTTTATTTCTTTTTTGAATTGACTTTCCATCTTTTCCTTTTCAGATTTCAGTCTACAAAAAAAAAAAAAAACTAATAATCAAAATGTAAATAACTCGTCATAGAAATTAGAGTATTAATACTAATAATATTTTATAAACACACGATTCAAGAGAAAAAAAATGGCTTGTTCTGTAACATATGAATGGCATCGGGGACAATAGTGAAAATCTGTATTTCTGCCATTAATTATCGTCATGAGTGCGCTCCATAAATAGTATCTCAGTATTTTGAAAGCAAAATGTTAAATTTAAAACTTAAATCACTCGTCATAGAAATAAGAGTATTAATACTTATAATATTTTATAGATCCACAGGATGCAAGAGAAAAAAAAATGGCTTGTTCTGCAAGAGATGTATGGCATCAGAGACAATAGTGAAAATCTGTATTTCTGTCATTAATTATCGCCGTGAGAGCGCCCCATAAATAGTACCTCAGTATTGTAAAATGTTCTAATTGATTCTTCCTTTAATTCTGAAGTAGATAAAAATACTTTAAAAAATTGGGGCAAAACGGATAGCAATGAGATAGACGAATTAAAACAATGTGTAAAGGAACAAAAAGAGAGATGAATGAATGCAATGTTGATAAGGAAGAATAATCTTTCAGCAAGCAAAGAAAGATAAAAAGAACTACTAAATGACTGAGACAGGGAAATCTCCGAGAACTATCAGCATCTGCTTTATTTGCAAAGTCTTGCTCACCTTTGGCAATCTTCTTCTTTCAAAGCTAGACGTTTTTCCGACGCGCCTAGTCTAGAAAAGAAAACAACAAAAAAAAGTGCTGTAATACAAGTTATGAGGGTTTTTCATCAGCTGGTTTTTTCTTCTCATATAACACACCTATACACTGCTTGAACCTAGAACACAGTTAGAATACTATGAGCCTCGCGGAAATAAAGACATACTAAATGCTCAGAAAACGTAGATATGCTTTAACTTGTTCAGTGAGAGTTTGATAAAGTTTTAGAAAAATTATATCATTCCCTTTTTTGCTATTTATCACTTCATAATAATGAGAATGGGAACGTCTGTTATTACTTCACCATATTGATCCAACAATATACAATTGCACAAAATCTACATACAATTAGATAAATTTAGGCCGAAAGGTGACTTAAATATTGTCTGAGTTTTACTGATGTCTTAACATTTCGAGAACACATCAAACAATAAGTGACAAAATTAGTTGGCTTGCCCTCCCCTAAGTAATAGTTGGCAACCCTATGGTCAACATAATAAAAATAATTCTTGTTAGTTCATCTCCAACATGTTCCTTGAAACTTACTTGTTACTTTATTTATGTCACTTGGTACTTACTTGAGAGTCCCCTCTTTCTTTTATCAATTTAGGTAATTAGTGACCTTTTCTTTTGAACAATAGGCAACATTGAGGATGAGGGGCAAGGTAAATTTTGAGAGTTATAGATAGAAAGAAATAAAAAAATAAAAGAGCAAGCACATTTAGATTTTTGCCACTAATCACAGGTGAACAAATAAATTAAATAAATAGAAAGCCAAGACGTAAATTTTGGCTTTAGTTAATGCTAAGTGCTAACCAAACAAATAAAAAAGGGCCAAAAGGTTTTCAGAGCAAATGAGAACCAACCATGAAGACACCTACCTCTCCTTTAACTGTTGTATCTCTTTCTCTAAATTTTGTGTTCTGAAAAAGGTAAAGCAGTGGAATGCTGTGACATACGAAATACATAAGGTGCAAACCTCGAATATGTGCAATATAAAGGGAGTATCATAGGGTGGAGAGAGCTTTTGTGAGCATGCATTTTTTGGGCAGCAGCTATCCTTTGGGGTTGCTGCGTATTCGTTACTTATTTAAGATTTTAGTTGAGTTTGGTGTCATTTGTAAAAAAATGTCTGTCATGGTTTTCACAGGGTCTGCCATTTTTGCGAAAGCATTTGGCCTAGCTAAGCTCATTCCATCACTTTGACGAAGAAAAAGAGAAAATCTGCAAAAAGTACCATATTCCAACATCATTAATTACATAATATTATTTTTTTGGCCTTGCCCAATTGAACTTGTGGTGCCATAACCTCACAAGGCTTAAATTTAAATATTAACCATTGCTTGCCAAGATCTACAAGTTCTGTAGATGTCAGCCAACAATTTTTAATTTATAAATTAATTTGAACCCATAGCAGGGGTTCAGTCATCCCTCTTTTCAATGGTGGGAATATGATTTAACACATTTGTACCAGTACACCATTGGAAACAGATTGTCACTAAAAGTATGTAAACAGTCTGGATGCTAAAAAAATGCCAATTTGTGATTATGAAGCATTTAGACAAAATATTTTGAGAAACAGCTGCAAGTTTGAGTTTTCTCTGGGGGTTTTTTTCTTCATGGCCGACAAGTTCACAAGTGAAAGTAGGACTAAAACCTCAATCAAACTTCTGCCTGCACACTTTACTCTCAGACTGGTTTTCCTCATAGTGTCTATTGAAGTTTGAATGTTTTAAGACAATTTTAATAGCAAATCTCTACTTAAAACTGGATAAATTGGAGGGGAGTTTGTGAAGTGAAGATGCCTATGATCTTAAAAGTAATATAAGATGGATTCCACAGAAAACTGTTTGTTATTAACATCCCCTTTTGCCTGAATTCTTGAATTATTCAGTTCTCTTTAAGTTGAAAGATGAGAAATGTCACATTATAAATTATTGTTCCGACTGACTAATGATTTATACTCATATATTATTACCTGCTGGATGTAAAACAAGTGTTGGAATATGTATATGTCCTCTAACTGTTAATTTCATTCTAATCAATCAATTAATTGGTTGATTGATAGGCCCTTAACATCCCAATTAATACAATTCTTCCACATATGTGTTGGAAAAAAAGGACAATCTGAAGCTAGCCCCAAAAGAAATCTTCAAAAACAATAAAGTGCACAAAAGAAATTGAAAATTGCAGTAGTCTCACTGTCTCCTATTTCTACCTCAGATTTATCCTTTTCCATACTCTCTATTCCTATCAATGATTACCAGTATCAAACAGCAAATCAGTGTCTGAAAATTATGGTTAAAATGTAGCAATTTTGATGCTGTCCTTACATGGAAATTTCAGGTTCATGTTAAAGTTGCCATACAATAGAAAGAGTGTGAATCCTTTTACCCTTTCCTAGCAATATTGTCACATGTATTTTACAACAACAATAAAAAAACTTGTGAAGGAAACCATAGGAATTTTGTCTCAAGTCTTAGCATGGTTTTCAAAAACACACAGCACATGTCAATTACATTCCCACCAATGTGTTACATTCCTATGATGCATTATGTTTTTTGTTCATTCACTCCCTCGTTATGTTGACTGTACACTCTAATATTCCATTATTCTTTTAACATGCATAAGTTATTCATTTACTCATTATCGATTCAACAAAAGTGCGTGACATCAAAGAATTGCATGTCATCACAAAGGACGATATCGAGGCCTTGGACTCTGTTCGCTTTGTTGTCGTTGAAAGTAATACTTCAGTGTCTCAACATCAACTTTAAAATGGACGTGATAAATGGATTTATCAATGAATGAATGAATGAAAAACTTTATTCATGTGTCAAAAAGAGGTAGCTTGAAATAGGTACCTCTACTTCTGAAGAAAAAGAAATTCTCGCTCCAGAGGTCCTTATTGCAAACCAAAATGTCTAATCGTACTCTCATACACTACCTTCATATGGAGATCGCATACAGACCGCCGACATTCACTTACTTACCTTGAATCTTCGTGAAGTTGGACTAACTCCGGTGTGGTGGCTGTGTCTGACGATACATTATTATGCCAGTGGAACGACAAATATCGCTCCATAATGCGTAGAATCGATCTTGTTTGCCCGCCGCGCAGTAGCCTAAAACCTCGTCTTCTGGGAATTACCGGAAGTGTAACTGAATGTCATGTGATATATGTCAAGGTAGAGCAATCTTCATTAATTTCAAATGGGAGACAGGTAGTAACGTCAATTGATGAGAAATTCGCGGAAAATCCAGTATATGGTTGCGAAGATATTTCCAAACTAAAATTTTTACCAGAAATCGCCTTCATTTACAAGAAAGTAATGAATGAAAAATGGTAGCGAACAATAGTCCTGGGTCTGCCATTAAATTTTAATCTTCAGACATAGCTTTGAAAATAAGCAATTTGCTCATGCACAAAAGAACTATCCGCTGTGAGACGGCAGGCTTTCCTTTCTTTATTTAAAAAATGCGGAGGTTATCATCTTTCCACAAGCCTAGTGGACACGAGAGTAAATGAGACTGATATCGGTAGTGACTATGTTATTTAAGCAAATATCCAGAGGAGGATAAAGGTAGGATATGTTCTGCATAACTCTCCTATTTTGATTATTTCACCTATAAAGCTAAGGCACTTATATTCTCGCCTTATGCGTAACGTGGACGCCAATTAATTAAAACTTCACGCATCAAAATACGAAAAAGGTAATCTTCATTCATGTTTCCCTAAACAGTTAAGAGGAGGAGGGGGGAGGGAGGTCAAAGTAAAAACATAAATTAAAAGGGGAGGGTGCCCATCAATTTCAGTTCTAGTTAAAGAGGGATGCTTGCTTTTCCAGATTCTCATCCTTTAAAACTCACATATATTGTGACCAAGCCCTTATATCAATTATTTAGTTTGGGTATGAGTATTTGTAAAAACACCATGAACTATTGAAGCCCAAACAAGTTAATTATGTGTATTTCAAGTCTTAATGAAGGTATAATAAGACAAACAGTACTTCTACTCCTATACATGTTACAGTTTTGGGGCCAGCTAAAGGCCTTTTAACCACCTTGCTTTTTGTTTGTTGTTTGTTTCAGTCGTTATGCC